TATATTGACTTTAAATACCGCGTTCCTGCCATATTTTTACAGTGAGGCGCTACTATTTCGTGATCAGCATTTCTAATAACCCATTTCTTTCCTTCACCGGGACAAAGTTCAAGCGTAATCCAAAATATTGGCTTATAGGTCTAATCAGCACACCACATATTGGTCTTCTGCCCCTCTAGTTATGTTCTCCATCTTACTTCCTATTTTGCACTCGATAGATATTTACTTTGAAACGATATCATGGCTGAAATTATTAATCATTGAAGTTCCAAGGAACGCGGATTAGCGCCACTTTATTATCTTGAAATCAACAAAAATTTCTCTTCTTTCATCAAGATGAAATCAGGCGAATTTCTGCTGATGCGAGTTATGTAAATCCGTATTGAGTAGGTTAACGAGATTCATGTTCAGTCTAAAACAAAGATTGAAAATATGGTGTTTATCTTTTGAAAATTTTTTTGATAATGAAGGAAGTTTGACTTTTTTCTCTTAAATACTTTATCGTCTATTCTAGCCGATACCACTTATCTCTGGTATGAAATATTGAAATGTGTTTTCTTGTAGACATGATATCTTTATCACCATTCTCTTCAGGTTGTCTGGGGCAAATTTGCGCAAGTGACGAACAATCCTGAGAACGACGGCTGCATTAATGCGGTTTTATTGATATGAGCCGTTACTGCCCTTTTGTTGTTTTTGTTTCTTATGAGATGTAATTGAAGCTGATTATATACCTGGCTTTTTCAGTGGTTTCTTGTTATTAAAAGGCCAGTTTATTGTTAATAGAGGCTGATTCCGTGCCTGGTGTACATACATGGAATAAAGAAAATGTGACTGAAGAGTTCCGTCTGTCTACCGTAATGAAAATCATATGCGGATCTTTCGCTTCATCTTAACGCTGCTGCCCTCCGGGGAACACTTGCCGCGGACCTATTGATGCAGCGTGATGTGTTTTGCGCGGCCGCATTTCTATTATCCGTCATCAAGTCTTCAGAGAGTTGTTCATGAATCATTGCTGTGGAATTATGGAATTCTCTACAGCAGACTAGCTTCGGAGTACGGTAGCTTGTAGGTGTTTGTGGGGAAAGGCATACGGTTGATGGATAGTAGTGAATATGAAAAGCATCCTAATCAATTTTTATGCACATAACACACATCATACATCTTTTATGATGAACTTGACTAGTAGAAAAAGTGCATTTCTGGGACTCGCTAATTTTTTGAATGTTCTGACGTTTGCGGTGGATTAGTCAACGGGATTTGACAACGCTTATTCTTCATTCGGCGATTTTGAAACCAAATTTTTACCTGAAAAATACTTAAATCATCGAGATTCGTTGATAACAGTATTTAAAATGATGTAAAACTAAATGCATTTGATATAGTTGAACCTCTGCAAGGCAACCCCTCTCTTTTGTAAGTTGTACACCATATGCACCCAATTTTACAACGCCTTATCCTAATTACGATTTAAAATGACCTTATTGTTTGTTTTATTAAAGTAAAGCTTACTTGAGTTTCCGTTAGACATAACTCTTGCGCCAGTTGATATCTCCTAGGTCGACTGAGGTACTTGTTCTCGCCAAACTGACGTTCCAACTCAATCAATTGTTCGCTGGTGAATGCGGTACGCGGACGTCGCATCTTTCCCCAAGTTTGCCAAGCTCCCACTAAACATAAACTTTTATAATAGTCCTAATTAGGAATTATAAGACTCACATGTTAAAGCCAGCTGATCGTACAGTAATGGCATTGTAGGCGCGAGGATTGGATACTGTAGACGATCTACTTGAGTTGGTAGACCGAATAAGGAAGATGAGGCTAAAACAGAGCAATAAGCCTATAACCCAGAAAATTTTTAAGCGGTAATACCTGTGGCAATAGTTGGTGTATGGGTCATCATTGAACCCAAGCTTGTCCCAGATGTAAGCGTCGAATGACATGGACTTTTAATAGCCGGAGGTGTAGGAGAGAACACATCATCGTTATGTGATTGTTGTGCAGTGGAAACTGTTCCTAAGAATGTTATGGCTATACATGGGTAAAAACATTTTTAGAGTGAAGTACATGACAAGAGGTACCCGTTACTTGCTGGCAAATATTGTTTTCTTACTTTTGATATCTTTTGACATCACCTCCTTGGAAATTAGGATGGAAACCTCAAACCAGGTGCTATGCATCTCAGCTTTATCAATTGTACACCTTAATTTCTGATTTTATTATTTGAGGTGCTTTCTTTTATTTCATTTATTTTAGGATGCAGCACGTAGCTCACAATGACCGTATGTAAAGTGAGCATTTAGAATAAAGTTT